GCAAATAATACCTGAAAACTCCAAATAAAAATGGATTTAAAGAGCACATTTTCAGTGTGAGCGTTCATGGTCTGGTTTAAGGTCAGAGTGACTCACTGGAACACTGTTGGCTAATGCTGGTTAGCTTGTGATGGTAAAATAATTTACAGAGGGACTTGTTTAACAGCACAAATCAGCTCAACTGTAGATCCAAATAAACCAGTTCTTCATGGGGTTCAAGTAAAACTCAGATTAAAGTTGAATAAGTCTCACATAGTCTAGAGCAGTGCTTATAGTTGGCATCACACACCAAGGGAATGTTGACGACGACAGCTGCAGAGTATCCAGACTCTTGAGTGTTGGAAACAGAACCGCTGCCTTCTACACCCTCGTATCATCCATGTGTTAGCTCCAATGTGTTTTCTGCGCTAGTCTGAGTTAGCGTTAGTCTCCAAACATCACAAACTATGAAAAAAACAACTGACAACCACTAGAGAAGAACACCAGAGCCTCTCTAGAAAACATTCCCTCATGTAGGAGCACTGTTTTGTATAGATTAATAACATTAGCAATTAATGACAAAATTAGCATACATGCTAATGACTACATAATAAACATTCTAATATTTAGTGTTAAGATGGACAAATGTGCACCAAAAATATAGAGAGCCACACCGCCTGTTATTTAAAAATTTTTTTTTACATCAAGCAGAAATCCTGCAGACATTAGTGCTCTATGTGCATAAAGATGCAGCCAAACGAGACCACGTAAAGTTCTCTACAATCCTCCATCTCCACTCACGTAACCACAAAACACCAAAACAAGAGCATGTGCTCTGCGGCCAAGTCTTAGCGTATAGACACAGACTTAGACAGACTTTATTGATATTATATTACAATAACAAAGAGTAAAAAAAAAATATATATATATATATAAAAACAGTGGTAATAAAACTTCTTAATAAGTAGCAATAAAAAAAAAAAACAGCAAGAGACATCATTATAGAAATGTAGAATAGAAATGTATATGTACAAGTAAGTAAAACACAGGCTTATCTGTTCCATAGGGGTGAGTTTTTGTACAGTTGTAGGGAGTATTATCTGTTCCATAGGGGTGAGTTGATGTACAATTGTAGGGAGTATTATAGTATGAGTGTAGTCCTGTCATTCTCAAGCTGCGTATCATATAAACAACCACCGTTCGTCTGTGCTGTCTGCAAACGTCAGCATGAATGTTGAATGAAATGTGCTGTTCTATTAACATGATTTTATGAAATACAATGTTTGTCAGCACCAAGCTCTGTGCAGCTCTTCTAAACATGTTTACCTCAAGACCTGCTTCTGTAGTACATCTGTATGGGGCAAGACACATGGTGCAGGAACATGATATGAGCTGTAGCCCCGGAGCATTTGTTGCATGGTGTGTTCTGTTGTGTAGATCTCCTCCTCTTTTGTTGAGTGAGACCACAGCCTTGTCTGGGGGCTGCGCCACCCCTGTGCTCCACCAGCTCTGCCTGTGCACCAGGAGCTAAAGTGGGACAGGAATGAGGAATGTGGCTCATGTCCCTAAACAATGATAGAGCCTGATGAAGTCTGATTATATGACACTGCTCTGCTCTCCAGTTCCCCTGGAGAGGGACAGTACAGCCAGGCATTCTGTTTTTCCCCAATACAGATAGAATGTATGAGCAGCTCTTGTACTGTCTGCATCTTATTAGAAAGCATGTTATATTTTATTATAATCAGGAAGTGCATGGTTAGCATGCTAGTTGTTGTTAGCGTTACCATGCTAAACTCTGCTCTGTTCTTTGAAAAGCATTTCCAAGCATTTTGTGGTGAAAAATTAGACATACAATGCATAAGATAAACAAAAAAGTTTTGACCACTGCAAACTGTTTAAAATAAACTTGCGTATGTGTTAATTTTTTTTTTTTCATGTTTTTAAGATGGTAAACATCAGATACAGCACCAATACAAATCTGTGAAGTTTAGATGTCATGGTTCATTTCAGATATATCATGTCCCAATATAAAACATACATTTCCTTTAAACTAAAATAAGACAAAACTGACCAAGTAACTACAGAACAAAAGTTAAAAGACTGATGTTGACCAAGCTTGTTGTGTAAAAACCAGATGAACAGTAAATAGTCTTATTACAACAACTGATATGTCTAAGCAGGATATGAGCAGAACAGATACCTGGAAGGTGCTGTAGTATGCAGTGCCTTTGATGAGTAAGCACGTAGACTTGGGATGGACATCAATATTTACTTGATAACGATTTAATAACGCCACTTTTTATACAAACTACATTGCAAATGAGTATATTTATTTTTACTCATTTATTTTTTACTCACATTAACTGCATACTGAGCCATTTTGGATTTAAATTAGAGAAGTCTAAACCATAGATAGTTTATTCATATTTGTATGTATTGGACTGTATTTGACGTTTTATTTGTACAAACAGGGCTATTTGTGGTCTGTTTGTTTCTACTCCTACACCTTATTTATGCAGCTGAGCCTTCAGGACTCTTGTTGTCTATGTAATTATTCTGCATCTAGAAACCGTAAGAATGACTTATGACAGTGTACACATGTGTGATGCACTACACAACATGAACATCATGAAGATTATGAAGAGATACTAACAGCAGAGCAGGTCCAGAGCACACACATGTTCCTCCACACGTGTGTAATAGTGCTGTTATTCCACTGACACTGTCGCCGCTCCTTCATCAACACACAGATGAGGTGGAGTCCTGGCTGCAGCAGCCGCTCACTTCACTGCTCCATCAGATCCTCCATTTCACACAAACTCGCCCTGAAACTAGCTCACTGTTTCCTTAAATGACTGATATTTACAAATGTGAAGCTACAAACAAAGACTTGTCACTAAAAGAGTTATTTTAGACACTTGCCTTGAAAGTTAGTGCTGCTGTTGTCATCTCCTGCCGCACATGCGTGCCCACTTGGAATCACCTCACTTGTCCACTTCCCATAGGTGAAGATATGTGTTTACTGAGCGCTGTTAGAGCTGGCTGTGGTCTTCAGTACACAAGTGCAAACCTCTGCTGCAACCATGTTTCAAACAGACAGAAGTGAAACCTGATTATTTGGATATAATCTGAAACTTTTAAATTTTACTTTTGACACTCAATGATTTTAGATTTTTTTTAAGCAACCACTGCTTGCCCAGTTGCCCTGACCACATGCCACTGGGATGCCCATATCTCAGCCAGCAATTTTTTTGTGTATTTATTTTTTCGGCAATGATATCCGATACCAGTATCAGATTGGTGCATCCCTAAGCAGTCCTGTATTGTCCTGCAATTATGTTTTTTCACCCACCCCATAGCTCCACCCGGTATTAAGGGATAATGCATAACATTAGATCACCATGTTACTTTTGTTTCCCTCCTCCCTTTGCTCTCCATGCTAAGTCACTCTCCCTGCAGAGTGCCATCACATTGAAATCAGCGTTTGTCCTAATAATGAAACTGCTGCACATTGCATCAGGGTTGTAAAGTTCTAGTGTATTTTATATTTTGCTTTTGATTATTAATGGAAAATTATTGTGCAAGGGCACGGGTCACGTAGGCTTGTGGGCTAAGCATTGCACAGAATTTTACAGTTCACTGTAAGGAGGGTTAGAATAGAGCCCAGGAGAGATCACTAGATCAAAACCTCTTCAGGCATGTTTTGCTGAGGTATTATAAGATAGTAGAAAGCTTGAAAAAGTTGATATTGCCGTAGTACCCCCTGTTTAAGTTAAGTTAAGTGGTTAAGTTTTGTAGCAATATTGCAGTTGTTGAATGCTAAGTATGTCTTGTCCCCTCTTTGTATTCTGTCGGCAGGTGTATGTGTCTCTGATCCCCATCATTGGAGGGGTGCTGCTGGCCACAGTCACAGAACTGTCCTTCGACGTGTCCGGCCTGATCAGTGCCCTGGCCGCTACGCTCTGCTTCTCTCTGCAGAACATCTTCTCCAAAAAGGTCTGCTTCCACACGAATGCATGCACACACCAGTTTCCTATAGTACTGCTGCACTACTAAAGCCTTGCATGTTTAACTGCACACTTCTCAAATGCAATTCTCATACTGTACCTAGATCATATTTGATCTTCCAAATACCATCAGATTTAAACCAAGTCTAAAACAACACTATTCTAAATCAGTGTTTTTCAAATTCTGGTTTGTGAGCTCCTTCAGCAGCTTCTCTGGACAGCTCTTCAGTATGAGCGTTTTCCTAATTTGCAGTTCAGTTTCTTCTGGTTTAGATTTTTGGTTTGACCTGGATCCTATTTACCATACAACTCTGTGTTTCCTATTAGTACAGGACACTCTGGTGGCCCCCCACAGTCTAAAATAAACAGGACAGTATGTTGGCAAAACTCTGCTAGACTTTGTTGCTCATTGTATAATCACAAACTCACAAAAGAGACTCTAAAAATGGGGTGAGATCAAGTGAATGTTCACCATGTCTGCCTTTCTGTATGCTTTCCTGCTGATATTCTTTACATGTTTTTGAAGGTGTCGGTAAATGTGACATGTGAATAAAAAACAACAGCTTTTTATAAGGCTTTATAACTTTATAAATGTCAGAAATCTGACTTCCAGGACTATGGGATGAGTGAGGTTACAGTGTTTTATTCTTTTGCATCTTCTGGTCTGTGGATGTGTCCAGGGGTCAGGGCTACTGGGGTTAAGGGCTTGTATTTTTGGGGTCACCAGGGTATAGTGTCACCGTTGTAATCCAGCAGAGCTCCATTATTCTTCTCACTCAGAGATTCCATCACCTTCAGCATCCCCTGCACACTCTCCTGGGCATCTAGCACCGCCTGCAGACCACAGACAGGAGGTCAGACTTGTACTGCACCACTGAATGAAAACCTTTCAAACGTTACAGTAGTTGCGTAGTTTGAGCCATTATCAGATGATTAGAGACTCACGTTAGGCCCGCCCAGTTCAGTGCGCACCCATCCTGGGTGCAGCAGGACACACAGCACGTCATCCTTCTGTAGTTCCAGAGATGCACACATGTTCAGCATATTCAATGCCGCCTGGAGGAGGAGAAGGGAATAACATGGTCAGATCACATTAACCTGATCGAAGGGGCCCCAGGACAGACCAAACAATGCAGCCTTACCTTACTGGCTCGATACGGCACCAACCTGAAGCGGTCGTAATGATCTTTAGCCCGTTCGATGGAGCTGCCCAATGTGGAGACATTGATCACTGCTGCTTTGCGACAGGACATCCCTGGTTTCCCATGAGCCTTTGCTGCAGCTCGAAGATAGGGAAGAAACTCCTGGACACGCAAGATTACAGAGATGAGTGGACACTTTGTGATGTGGTTTTGTTCATGCAGGTTTCAGAAAACCTTCTTGTGTGCTGATAGAGGAAGTTGGTGAGATGGGATGGGGCCAGGTTAGGAAGGTGATGAGGAAGAACAGCTTGTAGATGCAGTATTGTACGAGAAGCCAGTGGAGTTGGTTGAGGACAGGGGTGATGTGGTTTCTGGAGAGGGTGTGAGTGAAGAGGTGGATGTAGGCAGAATTCTACATGTATTTCAGTTTTTGGAGGTGGAGTGGAAGAGCATACAGAATTGTACAGAAGGCTGAGGGAGATGAATGTGTGAATGAAGATTTCTGCAGTTGGCTGCCTGAGAGAGAGCGACGGAGTGATGTTGTGGACATGGAAAAAAGAAGTTTTGAGCATTGTAAGCTGTCAATCTATATAAAGCCATGTACCCTAAGACTGCCGTACACAATAGGATCATTTGAATATTTAAGCCCCGATATGCTTCTCCCCGACTTTGTATGTGATTTTGACTCCGCATGTGCTAATCGGGTGTGATGTCAGTCCAACTCTGTGCTGCTTTGTCATACCATAACCACAAAACATCACCACAACTGCATCAGCTAGTAAAACAGAACGCAGGGCCAGACAGAGGGACAAATGCAGAAAATAGCAAAAAACAATTATGTGACTTTATTACTCACTGGTAAAATTGTAAAGTTACACTGCTGCATTCTTCTTCATATTATCCATTCGAATGTGTCCTCTGCTAATAATGACTCTCAGACCACAAAACAGCGCTGTTAATCCAGTTTGAAGTGCTGTTTAAAAGTAAATATGCAAGAGTAAATGTGTTTCTGTTTTATAAATCCACACGGCAAGGATTGAAGTGAATCTGCTGCTACTAGTTGTAGTTTATCACCAGCCCTCTGTGCAATACAATCATTTTTCTAAACTGTTGCACCACATTTCATAAATGATAATAACGCAGTTTTGACATCTAAACTAGAAGTGCAGTGTTCTGATCTTTGGGACATTATTGGGCCACACGATTTACTGTAAACACGGAATAGCTGACTCAATATGTGCTATAGTTTTGCTCGCTTTTTGCTGTACATTTAAATTGTTTTTTTTGTTTTTTTTTTCCACTTAAGACTGAAAAATCTTGTAGTGCATTGTTTCCCAAAGACTGGGTCACAACCCTCAGGTTGGTTGCAAGAGATTTTTTTTGGGGTCGCCTTGTCACGATCTGCATGTAGATCTGTAATATACAGTTCTGACACATGAGGGAGCTAGTGAGTCAGAAAATCCTCAGTGGGGTCAGTATTTCTCTGCTTATTCCTTTCACTACTACATGTGTATAAATTGTGATTTTCTATGCTCAATAAAATGAAGCCAAAGCACAAAAACAGACTGAACGCTGCTCCTGATCTGCTGCTGCGTCTCCTCCTGCACCCAGACTGAACACACTACAAAAACACACACAGGCCAACCTATCTCATTAAAATGTTGAAATGTTAAGACATGTTTTGTATCATTTCTATTCTTTTTATTATTATTTTATTGACTATTTTGTTCCAGGATTGCTGGTTCAATTGAATGTTGAAAAGAAAAAGAAATGGTCAACATGGAACGTCCAAATAGTCGACTTCTGGATCCTTTTATTGCTGCTTCAATGACAATTCAAATGTTCAAAAATTCAATGTTTTTCATTGTTTAAAACTTGAGTAATACTAATTGTTCAGAGACACGATCACTCAGTCAACTCAACTCTAAAATATCCTCATTAATGTTCAGAAATGGTCAAGACCACCTTTATTTTGTAATTTACAAATAATATCTATTGACTTGGGTCATGAAGGTTTGTGACTTTTAAAATATGGGTCCACAGAAAAACTGTTTGGGAAACACTGATGTAGCATGTGGCGGACTTTAGTGGGTGATTTTTTTTTGTACCTGCATGACGACCATGGGCCCGACCACGTTGGTGCTATAGCTGATTGCCATCTGCTCCGCGGTGCTCTCACACAGGGGGCCGTAGAATGCCACCGCTGCGTTGTTTATGACCACATTAACTCCGCTCTTTCCAACTACAGAGCCCACCTGCAGTGCCGCCTGCTGGATGCTCTTTGGATCTGCAACATCTACAGTATAAGAGTCACAATGTAAACATTTGACATCTTGAGGAAGTTGTCTACTACACTGAAACAAATGTGTTAAGAGAAGGATTATTACTATCACAGTCCCACAAGCTCAAGTAACTTGTATATGAAGTGTTAAAGTCTCTGTCCTTCACTGAACTCATGTGGGACGGAGCGCGGCCTGCGTTGCCCACGGAGCCATCAAGTGCTGAGCATATGAAGGGGACTAAGGGAGCATTCAGCTCCAGCCAAATGAAGCTCAGCGAAGCCAACAGTTATAGGGGTGAATTTGGAGCAGACCTTGAGTATCATAGCAACCGTAGAGCCAATCAGGAGTGAGGCTGTTGAAGGTAACACCCTCTTTCCAGTTAGGTTTGATTGACAGCGCTGCTCCCTGCCTGCTCCCTGCCTGTGTGGGTGCTTAGTTGTCAATCAAATCTGTTGCTAATGGTAGCGGGAGGAACTTTAGGGAAAAAGGGTTTTCAGTTCGTATGTTATAAATGTTCATATCTTGATTCACGGACAAAATAGTGAAAAGCAGAACAACAGGACCATACAAAGTGGATTAATATGAACATTTTAAGACAAAATGACCAGTAGGTTAGCTTCATCTATTTATATTCACTCTGTGGTGCTGAGCCAAACAGGTGGTTTTAGCGTTGATGAGTGGATTTACATTCAAGTCAGCCGCTCCTACAGTAAGAAGCACGTAAAGCCCATACATCTACAATCAAACCCACTCTGTCAGGACTTGAGCCCTCTGACTGAAAAGACACACTAGCATTTAGATTTACCACTGACACACCTTTTCTTAAAGAGGCAGAGGCACCTTTTCCTCTTTCACCACTGACCTCTGATACACATTCCCAAACATGAATTGTTTCACAGAAAACTTAATCCTGGCATGTGCAAGGAACCTCATTAAAATGTGGTTACCATGGTCACTTGAGCCCTTGTGCTGTGTGGTTGATCACACCGTGGTATTGCAATATTATGGTTACTGCAACAGGCCTACGTAGGACTCACCCATTCTGATCACCATGATGATGTCAGGGTGTTTCTCTGCCAGAGCTCTCAGCTCCTAAGAAACACATGTTTAGTTCATTAGTACTTCTTGTGTAAAAGTCCTGGTTTGGCTCCAAGACCAATAAACTCAACAGCTTCACACATACAAACAAGATATCTGTTTATTGTTGTACTGTTGTACATGTATTAATTTCGAGTTGCTTTCTTCTGTCCACGTGCTGTCTGTGACCCTGCTCCTGCAGTGCTTCAGCATCTGCAGTTCTGTGGTAAAATGTAATAAGAATGTCTGTCTTGAAAATTGAAAGACAGAGAAATACTAGAAACATGCTCCATTTCTTTGGTCACAATGGCTCAACTTTAGGATTGAGGTTAATGTATACTTTTCTATATTTTCTCCCGTAGGGAGGATTGTGTTCTGCATTTGACCTATCCTCAGTTTTGCTAGGGTCCCATCTCCAGAACTTGAGCAAGTCTTGGTCAGGAGGACCCCCTTAGCTGGAGCAATTGACCTAATGTGCATGTGGGTTTATGGGACATGCACTCAGACAACATGCATATTCTGAGTGAGACTGCACAAATGGTCATGATAACTAAGAGTTTACTTCTCTGCAGGTGTCCTTCATAATGGGATAAAATCAGATCCAGGACTTACCTGGGCCTTGGGTCCATCTGGGTCTCTGCAGCAGGCAAACACTTTACTGAGCGGTCTCTGAGTCTCTGTGATCTGTCGCACGAGCTCCAGACCGATGCCTCGGTTTGCTCCTGTGATCAGTACACTGTAGGCTGCCATGTCCTCTACACAGACACTGTGTGTGTAAGCTTGATGTGTCCTCTGTGAGCCTCTGTGAGCCTCTCTGTGTCACACCTGCTCCTCAGACCCTTTGACTCCCACCAGTGCATGTTACTCTGTTTATAAGGTTTGACACCGCCTCTGGTAAATACTTAGATTTGTGCTGTGTCACCGTGAGCAGCAGTCTGAGCTCTGGACTCTGAACAAAGTGAACATCTGCAAAGACTGAGAAGACTCCTTCTACATGTACTGTTGTGTTCAATTACTTTGACTTTATATGTGTGTTCTCGAAGTGCATGTGAAATGTGTATGCATGAGAAATGTTGTTTTGTTCTGCTGAAGCACTGCAGCCAGTGCTATTGTGTTGTATTAACATAGTAGACCTTGATAAGAGCAGACTGAGGAGAGCTTATCTTTCTATGCATCATACCGAATCATTGTGCCCAATCATAATGAATATTAATAATTGCACATGGTGTCAGATTCAGTGACTCAGCAGGTAGAGCCACTATGTGTCTAAAGGATGGTCCTTTTACGACCCCTGGCCTTGCAGCCCCTGCATCGGGCAGTGGATGGAAATAAACCTTCAGCTATAATGCGCTGTCTGAACATTCCTGTTGTATCATGATGGCCCACCCCCACCCCTGCTGCAGGGACCTACAGTTGACCTGCAGAGGCTTTCACCTTGGACAGAACCAGAACCAAGGCCCTGCAGGTATGGAACATTCTCCTTTGACCAACTCCACCCCCGAGTATACAACAAGCCACTGCAGATGGCACTGTTGTGTTACCAGTGCATGTAGGGGAATGGCCACAAACCCGTGCCAATCTGCTGACAGGGGAGGAGACCGGAACATAACGTGACCCTTCCTGAAAAGTGTACCAGAAGACATTTGTAACATGTCTTCTATACTTATATATGTGTGTTGACCTCTAAATTTATGTGTTGTCAGGTGCTGCGTGACACTCGGATCCACCACCTGCGCCTGCTCAACGTGCTGGGCTTTAATGCAGTCATCTTCATGCTCCCCACCTGGATCCTGGTCGACCTGGCATCCTTCCTTGTCGATGCAGACCTTGTAAGTAGGGTTGCTCTGATACTGACACTGGTATTAGTCTAGGCTCTGATTCTGCACATTTTTCAGGTATCAATATCACATCTTCACAGCTAATACATCTAGTCATTTCCTGGCTGTTTCTTACCCTGTGCAGATGAAGGCCTGTTCGAGTTTGCTCCAATAGTAATCGGTCTGTGCTGTTACATGCTGCGAGCATCTGAGTACAAACAGACTTCTCCAGATGTGTTACTGGGATCTGGGGCATTTGATTCATGACACCTGAATCGTATTTCCTGGGTTTATGTACAATTTGATAAATCTGCTTCAATAGGACTAGTCCAGTTTTCCAGTTGCTGGCATGCATATAAATGCAGTGAGTAATAATGACAGAAAAGACATTTGTATGACCTCTGATGAATTCACTTAGGAGTGGAAGTGCAGACATTGAGCTGCAGAGATAATCATTATTGTGCATAACTTGCCTCCACGAAATGATGTTTTCTCTCAAATAGGGGTGTAGGTAGACTCAAGCCAAAAATCAAAAGATCAGTAGATTGAGATCTAAACTTCTCGATTATAAAGCGTGCGCGTCTGCCTTTGTGTGTACGTTTGTCTCTGTGTGTACGTTTGTCTCTGTGTGTACGTTTGTCTCTGTGTGTACGTTTGTCTGTCTCTGTGTGTGCGTCTGTCTCTGTGTGTGTGCGTGCGTGTGTGTGTGTGTTTGTGTGGTACTGTCTGACCGCTCTCCCTCTCTCTGTTTTCTCTCAGTATGAGTAAAAGTGAAGTCATAATTGAGCGCAGGGGCATGGTGCATGTTTCTGTGGAGAGTGGAGGCGCGTGCGTGTGCTGGTTTCTGCCGCTAACAATGATGCTTTTACATTTAATATACTGTACAAAGTTATTCCAAACTTTAAATGTGAATTTCTCCAGAAATATTGGTCCTATCAACATGAAATAAAAACTGTAGTGATACTGTCTGTGCTTTTTATGCCAATCCACCTGTCTGTGTCTGTGTTTAATAAGATGGAAGATTGACTCAAAACTTGATCAGTCAATATGGGAAAAAAAATGGTGATTCATTAATTTCCCATATGGCCCAGCTCTAGGTGTCATTTCTGATATATGTACTTCACCGCAGGGTTCTTTATAGTAATTCAAATTGCAGTAAAAATTATAAATAATATAAAAATAGTATAAAAAATTAATAAATTTTGTTCTCATGAAGGTACATTAAACTATATTAGAAATAATTATTACTGATAAAATCTAATATTATACTCCTTCGTTTTAGTGTTGGGATAGATTGGATCGTGACATAAATATTGTGAAACATATCACCAGACTCATGGCAATGCACATCCCTCCTCTGAAGTACTTTTTAAAAGAACACTAGTACTTCAGTCCTTTTTAAAACAATTTTGTGGATCTTTTTATGACATAGTGGCTTTTACTGGTGTTTGTTTGCTCTTATGTTACAAAAGTGAGTTCCCTTAGGCCCTATACACAATTGTTACTGTCATAAAAATATGAAAAATATAATCAGTTCCTAAATATTCAGAGCTTTTCACAACTCTCTGAGACCAGAGTTTTTCTGTCACAGTAAACCGAAGGGCTACTAGCATGCTGATGATACAGTCTTTAGAAGGAGGACTTTATCCCATAACATGTGCTGAAATGGCTTCCCCTCTGCTCCACAGTCGGACATGTCGGGCTGGACCAGCACCTTCCTGCTGCTCCTGGTCAGTGGCTTCTGTAACTTTGCCCAGAATGTGATCGCCTTCAGTGTGCTGAACCTGGTCAGCCCGCTGAGCTACGCCGTGGCTAACGCTACCAAGAGGATCATGGTCATCAGCATCTCCCTGCTCATGCTGAGGAACCCCGTCACCCTCACCAACGTCCTGGGCATGATGACTGCCATCGTGGGGGTCTTCCTCTACAACAAGGTCAGTCACGGACAAGTAGGTCAACTTAGATTTACTAACACCAAGTACATTTACATTTCATGCATTTCATTTAAAAGGTTTGCTGCTACGGCTAACTTTGATTCCTCCCAAAAGTCTCCACAAACCACACTAACCACAAGCATGCATTGATTCTGAAATGTATTTTTGCTGATTTTTCCATAAATTTGTGAATAATGTGAATAATAGGGATGCATGGTGCTAGTACGTGTACTAGTCAATGTGCTGCTGATACTAAGAGCCGATACCACTGTAAGAGCTGTGCTGACTCTTATTTGACACTCAAAGCTCACTTCTGAGCTGAGCAGAGAGGAGGTGAACATAAAGGAGCACATTAAGCTCAGCTTTAAGATGCCTATCACTTGTACTGTGGAAAGATTTGGGACTCTTAAAGGATTTTCTATTTCAGGGGGCATCAGCACAGTGCTTTGTTTACATGGCATTAGGCTCATGTTGATAAGTGGTGCTGTTGATTCTAGACAAATGTAGCGGCTGAACAGAGCGGGTTCAGAGCATGTCCACTCTGGTGAAGTGTGGCCGTGGGAAAGTAAAACAAATCAAGAAGTAATCAATATTAAAAGTAATTCTCTGTACTAAAATCACTGGATTAGGTATAATTCCAATATAATTCAAAGTTAAAACAGACCATCAAATAAGAATTCCATCGAAGAAGATGGCTATATTATAATGAAATAATGATGAAATGGATAATAATATTCTATAATTCATAATGAAATGATGACTCAGATTTACTACTGTGATACAAGCCCTGTAAAAAGAATGTGTGCTCTTGTATTGGTACTCAAAATGAAGTACTCATTTAGGAAAAAGTGGCATCCTTAGTGAGTAACTGTTTTTGAGTAGAAAACCTATATTTTGTGACTCAAGTGATCTGTGGGAGAGGCCTTAGTGAAGAAAAGAGGGAATAAGAAGTTTCTTCAAACTTTTTGGATTGTTGAACTCAGTAAATCACACAAATATCCTTTTGGCTTGGCCATTATTATCCAGGAATAGAAACCCATCACAGACGTCAGTCTTAAAGGTGCTCTGCGTGAGTTTGAGTTTTTTGGTGTAATGTGGGTTGATTTTGATGAGAACCATATGGAAAGTGCTGCCCGTGACTACCCCAGACGTCTGTCTCTGTCATGGCTGAAGGTGAGAGCAACAGAACGGAGGGGCTAACCATTAAAACTCAAATATATTGTTCACTTGTCATTCAAAGTCTGGTACAGACCCTTTTAAATGCTGTATCATTTTTAAGAGTGTATTCACACTGCCACATGAAAACTGGGACTAAATCTGAAACCGGACTAGACCAGCACCAAACCCAAGTATACATCATATATATCAGGACTAAACTGGGCTCAAGCCATGACCAAATCATGTCAAGTGTGAACACATCCTAATTCTTCATAATTAAGAAGTAAACCAGAGTCCTCAGAACCACTAAATCTCTGATATTTTCTCACAGGCCAAATATGACGCCAACAAGGAGAAGAAGCTGCTGCCCACCTCCAAGTCGGACCTGATGTTTTACGACAACCCAGCACTGTCTCACTCCCAGTCCAACGGCTCGGGCCCCCTGTCATCGCCCCTGTCACCCCCCCTGCAGCACAGTCAGTGGAGCGGCCTGCCCGACCACTTCCAGTACAGTCGGCAGACCTACACGACAAACTACGGCAGCGGGACCCCCCAGTACGTGGTCTGAGGGGCATAGGCCTAATGGGGAAACAGGAACCTCCAAAGCTCTGGTCTGAGGAGCACAGACTGAAGGCAAGTGCAGCCCAGAGACTCTTCACCAGGCCAACACTGTACCACCTATTTATTAGCTGCAGAGTTCCCACGCTCTCTGGAAATCATCATAGTTTTCTGCTACTTGAAAATAAAAAAATGAAATTATAATAATTATTAAAAGGAATCTAAATATGCTGTTACAATTGTTGAGAATTTTGTGGCATTACCATCGTCAGGAATCTGTATTATTGACACAATTTCAGATCAAATGTGTCAATTGTTGGAGGAAGCGTGGCTCTTCTCCGCGCTCCTTCTGTGTGGCTGAGCTCTAAGGGAGCGCCCAGCCACTCTGTGGAGGAAACTTATCTGACCGCTGGTATCCACCATCCTGTCCTGAGGTGACTTAGACTTCTGTTCTGGAGGCCTCCTATAAAATAAAGCTGAAGACAATAGATGGATGTTTTTTGGTTATTTGCTGCTTGACATTAAAATTAATTGACTTAAAGTTCATACCTATTCACTTGATTCACGTACCAGTGTGAATAAACTGTAAAATGAGCCAATCCCAGCATCATTGTTGACAACAAGTGCTGTTTTTGATTCAAACCTAAACTGAAATCATGTCTCATTGAATATTGCCTGTTGTGAAGTTGAACCAAAAAGCCAAACCTAAATGTAAATATCAAAATAGTTGTGAGTATAGGTCTGTCCTTTTCTCCAAAGGCGTGGGAACCCTGTCTCTGTATCGCCTGCGTGATGAATCCAAACACGTTTTGTATGGGAAGATATTTTTATGTTGTTCATTTGAATGTAGAAAATATAATTTTTTAATAACTCTCTGGGAGTTTTCAGCTGACATGATGGCCGTGTGAATTTGACACCTCTTATTCAACTCCTCTGCAGGAAGTCCCCCTTAAAAACATCCTAGTCTGAGGTGAGAAAGGTGCACTATGTAACTTTTTTGGAGTAGCTTGTGCCAGTTGCTTGTCTCCATGAAGATGACATTCCTTTGCCTAGAATGTTTCGTAGTATGGCATTATTTTTAATTTATACAATCCAGATGATTTTATAGCTTAAAAAACATTGCAAAACAACAGGGGAAAGTCAAGTTTAATGTGGAACTGTGGAACATCCAAACAAATCAGTAACATCTGGATATGTTACCTCTTTAAATGACGACTTAAAATTCACTTTGTGGGGGAAATGGGAAAATTAAAGCAAATGAATAAAAAAGTAACAAGGCCAGTTATTAATTAAAACCAAACCATTGGAGCTGCCCTCTTGTGGTCAGTGTGTGTGTGGTTGTGGAGAGGAGCTTAGAATCGTGAGGTAATAGTAGACATTTGGAGCCTTTAGTACTAGTACCTCCTCAGTTCAGCTCCTCTGGGCTCGGCTCTCCCAACTTTGACGCCTGGGAGCTGGCCTTTTTTAGAGCAGGTCTATCTATGTTTCCATGGTACCAGGTGAGCTGAGCAGAACTAAAATGTGCCAAATCAGCTGCTGTCAGGAGGGATGAAACCAGCTCCAGGTGAGCGCAGACAAGTGCTGTGTCCAAGCGGGCTGAGCCGTGCAGAGAAGGTTCTAGGTTAAATGTCCCTGTAGCAGTAGGACGGCAGTGGTGTGCTGCTCCTGTGTGTAGTCTGCACAGCCTTCTGAACATACATGTGCTGTCTGTGTTGTAAATATCTACAAAAACTGTAGGACTATTTTGTTACCTCCATACAGAAGCCTCCTTAGGACAAACTTCAGTGATAGGAGCTCAAAGCTTCTTATCTTGAACACAGTGAGACGTTCTGTTATCAAGAACAGTCTATGACCAATTAGTTTCATATGTCTGTGTACATTAAAATTGTAATATATTTTATGCAAATCTCTCCCCGGCTCTGTTTCGGGGTTAGTGTTTATAGTATCACTGGAAATGTAAGATCCTGTTGGCTCAAATGAAATTAGTTTGAATTCAAATGAAATAATTGATTTAAATGTATTTTTAAATGAATTATTTATTGTGTGTGAGAGCACCAAAGGCAGAGTTTGCACATGTTTAAGTGTTCTGCATATCCAACAGTCTTCTGCTCTGGGCCTTCCTCTGTAGAGTCCAGTTTTCTTTTTTCTTTCTTTCTTTTTTTTTTTTTTTTTTTAAAAAGAGTTTTTCAGGATTCAGTGGTTTAAAGTGCTGGTTGGTGAAATTACTCATTTCACTAAAACACTCAACATTATTTAAAGTGGGGATATTATGCAAAATGTATTTTGTTTGTTTGTTTTGTACCATGTTATAACGTTCTCTTGTCAAAAACATGCCTGATGAGGTTTTAGAGTCATTCATACATGTCAGATTAATCTAGTAATCTTTCCTGGGCTCAACTCAAACCCTCCTTATGATTAGCTGTAAGATTCTGTACAAGGCTCCGCCCACAAGCCTATGTCAGCCATGCTCCCACATGACAGTTCTCCATAAATACACAAAAACATGATGCAAACTACCACTACTACTACACTCGACAAACCTGATGTGATGGTACTTTCATTAGCAGGACACATGCTGACTGTGCTGTGATAGCGCTCTGAAGGGGCGTGACTTAGCGTGGGGAGCAAAGGGAGGGGAGGGTCAAAGTGCTGTAAATGAAAGTGAAACTTTATAAAATATGTTAATATGTTTTCAGCAAATGTGGGATTTTCAAAACAATAAAAGGTCACTTAGAGTTAATACCCCAGAGAAGTGTAATACCCCCTCTTTAAAGTTAAGCTTAAGGTACAATTTATTGTCCCCAAAGAGACATCTGGAATAGAACCAACCAGCTCATTAAATGGGACTGTGTCTGATACTGAAGATAGATTTTATTTTTAATCAGTTCCTTTGTATTTGGTTTAAAGACGACAGTAGACATTGACATGTTTGACTTTCTGCTCCGAGGTGTGGATCTGCTGTGGCGTGTCGGACCTTTACAGAGGAGCATTTTATTTGTATGTTTAAAAGAGGTGCTTTGAGCAGACTGCTTCTAGATTTTTTTATTTTAAGTTTACTGTAATGGAACACCGGTTTAGTAAATGCTATTTTCAAATGTGGGGAGAAATAAATGCATTGTGGGTACTACTGACTCCTGTGTGTTTTGTGTTCATTTAATGTGACCTCACTTCCTGCTTGTAATTTAAAGCATTCCCAAAGACTGGGTCGCGACTCTCAGGTGGGTTGTAAGAAATTTGTCATGATCTTCATGTAGATTTGTAATTTACATTTCTGACACATGGAGCTGGTGAGTCAGTAAATCCTCAGTAGGGTCAGTATTTTCCTGCTTATTTCTTTCATATTATTATTACATATTTGTATAAATTGGGATTTTCTGTGCTCACAAAAATGAAGCCAAAGCACAAAAACAGACTGAACGCTGCTCCTGATCTGCTGCTGCGTCTCCTCCTGCACCTGGACTGAACACACTACAAAAACACTCACGCCCACCTATCTCATTAGAAATGTTGAAATGTTAAGACATGTTTTTAATCAATTCTAATCTTTTTGTAATTATTGACAGTTTTGTTCTAGTATTGCTGGTTCAATTAAATGCTGATCATCATTCAACTCCTCACTGTACATTAGATTTCCCACTATATTCATCTTGGTTTGACCATTTTTATGAAATATATAAATGTACTTCGTGGTTGGACATGGGCAGTAGAAGACCTCTACATGTTTCCTGGCAACTGTAAAGTTAACACGGGCTTGTCTATTCCACATACAAAATAAATGTTCTTCTGTTTTTTTTCTTCTGTCAGAAGAGTGTGTACCTTGTCCATACATTGTCCCTGCTGGCTGCATTTTCAATGGAATTTTGTGAATTACCTGCAGGGATTTCTTTTTTAAAACTAATTCCAGTATTTCACATTCTTTTCTCTATTTTTACAAACTCTTAAGATTCTAAAATTTAAAGAACAACACATAATTCATCAGATTATTCTGTGTCTCTGAATGGCTTCACAAACACTCTCTTTATTTTGTTTTAGTAGGACAGTTGCACCGGCTCACACCCACACTCATTTCTGTTTCCTCACTTCCTTCTCCTTGATTCCTCATTTCGATTCTGCAGGAAATGAGCGAGAAAGTCACATCCACAGAGGAGACGCAACAAAGAGAGAGGAGATGAAACTAGAAATAGAAAATGAGTGTATGGGAGCAGTCCGTATTAAGTTCTACCTATGCAAATATCACGAGAATTCATCTTGCAGTGCGAGGTTACTGTAGTAGCCTAATCAAAAAATACTTTGTAATCTGAAAAGGCAGTATACAGTACGCTTTGAACAAACAGTTCAACTTTGGACAGTTATTTAAACAGTCTTTTCTAGCGCTCATTTCTGAGCTCACAATAACAGTGTTTGGGAAGAGGAGGCAGTGCTTCAGCACAAGTCCTCATCAGTGCATCTGCACCCATCACATCATCATTCACTTCAGTGCAAAACATTCCTCCCACATCAGCCTGTGGCACACGTGAGGCCTCACAAAAGTCTAGTTTATCACTGAATAAACTCTGTCTTTACAAATCTGAACTTTCAGGACAGATGTGCTCATGGAAGATCACAAGAGAAGTTCAGATTCTCAGCCCGGTGCCAATACAAGCTTGTGTGTTCTCATTGCGCCATCTAGTGCACAATTTGAAAACACGCAGTGGTTACGTCGAAAAACTGCACCTTTAAAAGTCACAGTAAAAAGTTTACATGAACTTTTACGTTTCAAGTTAGATCCGAGGCCCGGCTCTTGGTCACATAGAAGTGTCACTGAAGGGTCAAAGAGGGGTCACTGAAGGTTCAGAGAAAGGTCACTGAAGGGTCACCAGTGACAGCCCAGGTTCTGCGGTTACTCCAAAGAAGAGCGCTTCAGCGCGCGCGCACATCCCACCCGCTCTCTTGTCCTCCTGCAGAGACTGAACCATGTCCTTTACGGATAATCCACGAGAGCGCACCAGTCCCGGGACTCCCCTGTGCGTCCTTGGTGCTTTTACGTCTGTTCCTGCTCCTCCCTGGCCCGCGCGGGCACTTTGACCGCAGTGGGCAGCTGCGACATGATGTTGGCGCTGCACATTAACTGTGTGATCACGTGACCGTCCCTCGTCAGGTCCGGGTAGATCAGGTTGGTCAGAGGAGACGACGGGGGGCTCGTGCGCACTCCGCTGCGTCTTCTCTGTGACACGATGCGCAACCGGCGGAACAGAGATCTCCGCAGCAGGATGTAGATCCACGGGTCCAGGATGGGGTTCACGGAGGCGATGCGGATGGCGGCCAGGTCTGCGGCCTCATCCTTCCAGAACACGAGGCTGTTCGCGAACAAACGCACCTGTGGAGGGACAAGTGTCAGCATCAAGTCCACTGCGCAGCCTCCCAGTGTAGACACGTGCGTGTGATGATATTATTTTTATTATTACAATATTAACATATATGAAGAGACAAATCTAACCCGCAATTCTGGAAGCATAAAACTAAAACGGACACGCGTTGACTGTGCGTAAAGCGTGCGTAAAATTAATCTCTAAAACAACTCAAGTCTAATTTGGCGAAACATTTAGGCAGCACTTACCACGAGTGGCGCAGAGCACGTGAGCACTACCGCGGAGGTGGTCACGAGCACGGCGATCATTTGTGTCTCCGCGGCGGAGGACAGGGCTCTCCAGCGCTCGCGGACACTGGCTCTGGTCACAGGGCGCGCGATGGTCCTTCTGCGCATGAGCAGCAGAGCCCCGCACACGGCCAAGTTCAGGAATATGGTCCCGAAGATGAGCAGGAGACTCGTGCTGCCGTACAGCATCGTGTACGCGCGCGCCACGGGAGCCCAAGAGTGCCACTCTATAAAACACCAGGTGTTGGAGCTTTGCAGCTCGCTGCGCGCCATGCCCATGGCCGGGAGGCAGCAGAAGAGCGCGTGGCTCAGGTAGATGCCCACGAGGACCCTTTGCGCAAAACTGCGACCCACACGACACCGGCGGTACGTGAACGCCAAGCAGATTGCGGCGTACCGTTCCGCGGCCATGGCGCAGATGACGCTGAGTCCAGTCAAACTGAAGAACAAAAGTACAAAGGAGTGGAACGCGCACACGCTCGCGTCCTGCAACACGTGCGCGCCCAGGTACGTGGCTATGGTGATGGGGCTGGCGAGGCACGTGCCCAACAGGTCAGTTACCGCGAGCCCGCACACGAGCGTGTAGAAGGCGGAGGACTTCCGCTCCCGCCGTGACGCCGACAGCGCAGCGATGGCCACGAGGTTCCCCACGGCGCCCACGGCGAACATGAGCACCGGCAGCAGCACGCGTTCCGCTCCGTGGGGCGGAGAAGCCTCCACGCGTGAGCTGTTGGGCTCGAGCTCCTGCGTAAAGTTTGTGGTTTCTGATAAATGCATGACATCAGAGAAAGTTCCCCAGTGGTGAGATCCGCGCGCTGAGCTTTAAAGTGGAACCAGAGACATCCCGTGAGTTCCGGTAAAGCAGAGCCTCTCCGCGGAGAGCCGCGCTGGGACTGAGGTTTGGGGCCGAGGTTTATTTAGTTTTCTCTCCACTCCAAATCTGAAGAGCTGCCGTCATTACGCAGTGCGTAAAACCACCACAGACTGCAGCCCGAGGTCACCAGAGAGACAGAGAGAGAGAGAGGGAGAGAGAGAGAGAGAGAGAGAGAGAGAGAGAGAGGGGGAGAGAGAAAGAGGTAGAGGGGGGGAGGGAGGTGGAGGGGGGAGGGAGGTGCAGGGGTCACATACAGTTCAGAGACGGTTCCCACGCGTCTGAGACCACAGCCTCCCGGTCACTGTGGCTCTGACATATTCGGTCCAAGTGTGACGTAACGTTACGTGTTTCTTGAGAAGATCGGACGTTATACCAGAACTGACCTGACATCACCGGAAATGAAGCTCGGGCTGTAGTGTGTCATCAAACTGTGAAACTGATCTGCTGTCTAGTTGACTTTTCATTGGACGGACCATAGGCCTATTTGTGTTCTGTGTTATTGCTGGAAAATGGACGTAGATAAATGCAGACCTCTAGAGCTCAGGTCAGAACAGGCTAATGTGAGAGTGGATCAGAAACACTTGGAGAGAGGTGTGAGGAGCTCTGTGTTTTCATACACACAGAGTGTCCGTGAAGGCAGCACACGTTAAGCCCAGATGACAGTTAAGTGCAGCATGTGGACGTCACCGCGCTCCTCTCATCCACTCACACCTCCTCTGTCTGCCCCAGGAGCCCAGCCCAGGGGCCACAGAGAGGGCCACAAAAAGGGGCCTATTTGACTATACTTTATCATTTTATTGTCTTTAGTGTCAGATTCTATTAAGTGCTGACTTCTACACCAGTACACTGACACTGGAAACACTTGTCTTGCCCAAATGCACAATGACTGAACCTCCAAGCTTTGACTTTGAGAATGAAAATATGAGTTGAGTATCAGTTCAGGTCTGGGTCACTTCTCGTACTTGAGTACTTTTGTTCTAACAACATGAAAACCCCTGAATCGTGTATTGTCTTGACAGGAGCGTGGACACTGAGCTCAGCCGCTCTAGAGCTCCTCTGTTTGGGTTTGTGACATCAGCAGATGATTCAGCTTCTCCAGAACTTGGGCGAGAATCACCAGGAATGCTCCGACTCTGTTTACAACTGAGGCACAGTACAGCACAGCAAAGTACAACACAGTACAGCACAGTACAACACAGTACAACACAGTACAGCACATTACAACACAGTACAGCACAGTACAGCACAGTACAGCACAGTACAGCACAGTACAGCACAGTACAGCACAGTACAGCACAGTACAGCACAGTACAGCACAGTACAGCACCACAAACACTGGAGGAGAAGCTGTATGTGTCCTACACATGGTACAACACACACAAACACTCACGCCTCCTACTGTATTTTCTTAAAAAAAAAAATAAAATAAATAAAAAACAAAAGGTAAATGTTCATAAAAAGATAAAATTGGATTAGTCATTTTCAAGATAACAAACACCTTTGACCTTGAGTTCAGTAGAGATGATTCTAGTGAAGGTGTATGGAGTTTAAACTGTGCAGGCTTTATGTGTTAAACATGTGAATGAAACAAAAAACACAACTGCAGCTCTGTTTGTGAGGAGGAATTATAGGACATTACAAGATAGTTTAGAAAATAGCATAATATATGCCTTTTAAAATCAACATGCGTACACTTCTTATCTCCATATGCATACAGATATAACTACAGATATAATTTTAATGTCTATTTGACCCAGTGCTATGAACTGGATGCTATAATTCATAAAAGTTTGGAAAAGGCTCATGATTTGTGAGGGATGACCTCGTCTTCGATTCTCCTGCTTTCCTTGAAAAAGAGTCCCAGACCAGTGCACGGGGTCTGGACCATGACCAGGACCAGGACTGGGGTCAAGTCCAGACCATGTGAATGTGATGTGTCCTGGAAGATGTGTTCAGACGTGTTTCATAATCACTGTCATTTCATATTCATATTTAAGTCTAATGCTAAAAACATAAATCAGATGTATTCTGCAAAATTCTTTTCAGAGCCATCGCCGTTTATTCAGCCAAACTTGTATTTAGTGATTTATACATGTCTAAATAATCTTTAATATTTTATTTTCAAGACACATTTTCACCTCCACAGGAACACGCCCACTGCTGTATATTTACTTTTCCAATTTTATTTTCTTAATCAGTGAAGCGGGTAGATCCAAGTTGCATTTTTCATGTTGGCTGGAAGTCCTGCTCTCAAAACTTGTAATGTTTCACTGAACTCTATAAGCTACATGTTATTTGTACACTGACATATTTAGTACATGTAGGTTTATGTATTCCATGTGTATTTGAACAATATTAGATCCGTCTGTCATTAGGTCGGGCTACACTGTGACAAAACACTGCTTTAGAATGCACCACAATTTCCGTGAGCGAGTAGGGGATTTATTTATTTTTTTTCATTTGAACCAAAATGAAGCAAAATGAAGTGAATAAAATGAAATGAAAAGTGCTTTGGTTGATTTTTGGTGAATTTTGTCAAGTAATTGTTGTGTCCCTCTTCAGAGCAGAGGTGGGACCAAGTCGTTGTTTTGCAAGTCTCAAATAAGTCTCAAGTCTTTCACCTCAAGTCCGAGTCAAGTCCCAAGTCAAATACAGGAAAGTCCAAGTCGAGTCTCGAGTCATCTGCTTTGAGCTTCAAGTCATTTCAAGTCTTTAAATTAAATATAGTTTAGGTTTTTGCAATTTATATGAATATATGAACTAAACTGTACTTAAAAAAAACATGGTATATTTATAAATGAGTGTTTATATGAGTTGTAGAAATCCGAGTTTTTCTTTTTTTTATTAAGATTTAAAAGTGCCTAATAACATTAACTTAATAGTTCCCTCTGTGTGTACTGTACTCCATTTGGAGTTCATTTGAGGATACTGTACTGTACTGTACTACATTTGCAGTACATTTGAAGATACAATATGACAGTACTTCAATACCAAACAGAAGTGGAAGGGAAATGTTTTAGTTTGTTCCTTTAAAATTCAGCGTCGCATGTATCAACTGTGAAGACAAAAGTATTTTATAACTTTTTTTAGAACCATCAAGTCTTCTCAAGTCACAGGCCTCAAGTCTGAGTCAAGTCTCAAGTCACTGACCTTCAAGTCTAAGTTGAGTCCCAAGTCTTAGTCCATTTTGTCAAGTCAAGTCTCAAGTCCTAAAAATAGTGACCCTAGTCTAACTTGAGTCCAAGTCACAACATGCAAGTCCCACCTCTGTTTCAGAGTAATATGACCTGTAGTAAGTAAACACATTTATCTGGCAACTACTACACCCAACAGATTTTGAGAAAGTGCTTTGGTTGATTTTTGGTGCTGCTGAATCCTGCGTGTATCCAAGGGCGTAGGTTTGGTCTCAACTTTGGTGGGGACATTATCAGCTACAGGCTTTCACAGAGCACGAGTAGAGCTCTGTTTGTGAGGTGCACTTGTGCTGATAGTTTCTCTTTTTCTGCAGCAACTCTTTATAAGACAAGTTTAATTGAAGATCAAGACAAGTAAGTTCCTTTTGAAAAGTTTTTCAGAGTTTGGTGCAGCGTCTTCACTCACACCTGCTCAAGTCGACATCTTCATGTGTTTCATTGGCTCTGTTACAGCCAATGAAACAGCAGCAGGAGTAACCCTGTCGTCATATCACTGAATACATCTCAGAACATTTAATAAACAAAATGTGAACTAAAACCTGTTCAGTTAATACTACTGAGTTTGGAAAAATATCAGAATAAATTTATATTTTTGTTGATTAAAATAAAATGTCAAATATTGGTAGGGACTAATTTGTCTTTCTCAGATATTATTGTGACATGTCCCCACTGTCCCTGTGCAAGACAATAAAACTGGAGAATAAAAGTATGTTGGACAGTGGATCTGAAGATGTGGAGGTGAAAACAAGAATTCATCTGCAAAATAGTGTCTTGAAAAAAAAAAAGATTCAAGATTGCTCAAACATGCACGACAAACTCCAAATACAACTTCAGATGAGAGGAGAGATGAGACGAGAGTAAGGGACAACTAGAACATGGCTCTGAAAAGTCTGTTTTACAGAGTAGGTCTGCTTGATCACTTTCTTTCTGTCTTCTACGTCAGCGTTCCTCCTCTCTTTGACCTTATCTCCATCTTCCCACTGCCCTTTTTTTGTTTCTCATTAGAAAACCCTGTCATTCATCAACTGTATTGCTCCCTAACGTGCCATGAACTTGAAATGTTGGCTGTGATCTAATAAGAATAACAATAATAATAACCGCCATCATAATAATCATAATAAGAAACCCAGAGCCCCAAATATCCATGTGTCATTCGTTCATTTGTTTTTATATAATAGAAGAAAATGAAAAAAACAACTATTTTCTTCATTATTTGTCTCCAAAACTAAAATAAAGAAACAGACAACGATTTGTTTTTTCAGTTTTTGATTTTGTGTTTAAATGAATAATGGGGGGGGGGGGGGGGGGGGGAAATGGATACACTGGGATGCTGGACTGAACCAGGACTGAACCAGGACTGGACCAGGACTGGACCAGGACTGAACCAGGACTAAACCAGGACTAAAACAGGTCTAAACTAGGACTAAAACAGGATTAATCCAGGACTAAGTGTCAGGCCGGGCTCAGAGGTGCACCTGTGTAAACTGTTGGATGATCAGGATTGAGAGTGGCACCAGACCAGAACTGAGACCGGGACCAGAACCAAGACTGAGACCAGGACTGAGACCAGGACAAGACTGGTTTAGTCCTGATTTAGACCTGGTTCAGTAGTGGTTAAATTCTGGTTTAGACCTGGTTTAGTCCTGTTTTACTCAGGTTTTAGTCCAGGTTCGCTCCTGGTTCAGTCCTGGTTCAGTCCTGGTTCAGTC